CACAAATCTTTATCCTCTCTCAGCAACAACTGTACATACATTTCGTTTCAATCAAATCTATTTTCTCCCGCAACAGGAACAAAATAGATTATTTAAAGAAGACCAAAACCCTTTCTTTTTTCTTTTCTTTTCTGTAATGCCGCCTCCTCCTTTACCATTCAAATTGGTCTCCTTTCTGTAAAAATAATTTCTTATAATTAATGTTATATCTAGTCATTTTGATAAATCACCAAGTCATATCAGAATAGAAATAATGTTTTTTTGAAATCAAAAAATTTTTATCAATTAATTATTGCAAAATTAAGCTTCCGAAAATGAACAACATAAAGTTTCTTTGATATCAAAATAAGTTTTTATAATTTATATTACAAAAATATTTATGAATTTAAAAATATTAGATATATTGCTATTTTGATGTAATAGTTGAGTATACTAGCATGATAGTGAGATATTTCATCGATGAATTCTATTAACTCCTTGGAGACGGGTGATTCATAAAAGCATTTGTACAAAATCAGAATCAGGATGTAAATAAATAAAAAACGGCAGCTTAAATGTAGTCGTTGCTAATTTGATAGACTTACTTTGCTTTTACTTTAATTATTGTTAGTTCAATCATATATATAATCAATGTTAGTTCAATGTATAACTAAATTATTTTATTTTGAACTAAAGTAATGGTGAATTAAACAAATCAAACAGTTATAACCCCACCCACAAATAAACTGCTAAAGAACTACTGTAGTTACCAGTTTTATCTTTTTACCCTGATTGATACTGTTTTGAGCTGGCACGTATTTGTGACAGTCGGCGCGAAAGGGTTAAAGGGAAAACAAATACATATATATATATGCGTGTTTTAAACGCATGCAGGGAATAGTTATACCAATTTTTTTTTTTAAATAATAGATTTCTTCGTAGGACGTGTAAGATGCATACATGTCCTGATTTTAAACTTTCATTTAGCAAAGAGCGTTTATCAATTCATAAAACTTTTTAAATTTAATTGAAGTACTCTTAAATTAAATTTAAAAAAATGAATTTCAGTTCAAAATATTTGCAATTAACTTATTGAAGTTAAATGTTCTAGGAGAAAAGTTTTTCATACACTACTGTTTAGGCAGTTGTCTGAAAAAATTGTCTTAACTAAAAAGATGAAGAATTTTTTGCGTGCGTCTGTGTGTCTCTCTTCTAACTCAAGAATTTTAAAGTTCTGAAATTTGAGCAGTTGATGCAAAGGGCAACTTTAGCCCCAAATCCCCAAAATTTTTCAAAAAGTGTATCTAGTTCTATTTTGCAGAGACGTTGAAAAATGATTTCTAATAGATTTAGCATTGGGTACTGTTACAATTACAGACACTTTGTCGTTCAAACTATTTAAAAAGTTATATCAGTGATGTTTGCTTGATTACAGCTCTGTATAATATGTGAAGATGTGCTTTTTTATATTGCTTTAACGTTATCTTATAAAAAGTTTCATGAATTTATAAATCGAATATATTTTACATTCTCATCGTAACAGAATTAACAAATTAAAATTATAATATTCCTAACATATGCTGCATACAGTTTTCATAATCTCACTTTTATATAGCTGTATGTAGTTCAGTTGCTAAGGTTATCAATTAGCATTAAATATTTTATACTTAAGTTCAAGTTTTATTCAGTTTAAGTTTATTTTTAGATAAAAAGGGTTTAATTTCAGTGAATGGAATTATTTAATTCTTTAATTAATACATAAACATTTAAACTCATGTTTCAATAATATTTTTCGAACAATTTACATGATTTTGACAAGACAGCAACTCCTCTTTTTTTAGTTATTAAAAAGATGAACTAAAAAAGTATTGGTTACAGTGGTATGTAATTACAAAATCATAACTTGGATCATTAAATAAAAAATAATTTTTTTTATTTAAGGAATATTTTCTAATTTATTTTTATCTTACAAATTCGTTTTCTAATTATGTCTAAGAATGTTATGAGTATTACCAGGGAAATAATTTGAAACTGTAAGCAATGAGATATGATTATTTTAAATTTTTAAAAGTACTTTTCATATTAGAAACATAAGTTATTATTTTTTTTGGCACATTTAAAGTAAAAATAAAACACTATTCTTTATCAGTGGCTATGAAATCAAAATAGTACTAATTTTTTAATTAAAAGAATATTTTATGATCTATTTTAAACATAAAAATTCGTTTTCTAATTATGTACAAGAACGTTATGAGTATTATGAGGGAAATAATTTGAAAGTACAAGCAATAAGGTTTGATTATATTAAATTTTGTAAAGTATATCTTATATTCATAAGCTATTATTTTTTGGCACATTTAAAGTAAAAATAAAACTCTATTTTTTAATAGTGGCTGTGAAATCAGGAAAGTACTATGTTGCAGGTGGAGTTTTGAAATCATAATTCTTTTTATTCCGCTATTTTTTTCCATATGTTTTTAATATATTTGTTTTTCGAAATTTATATTTTAAAGCTACAGAAAACGGCTGAATATGGTCCTTTTTTATTCAAGATTTATTCACGGGCCGTGCATAAATGCTTCGTTGTTTACTTTTTGCCTCCAGGACATATGTTATTCATTTTTTTAAGAAATGATGTTGTTATAAAAGTCAAAAAAGAGGAAATATTGTAAGCGCTCTGCTTAAACAAAAGCGCTTAAAATAGCAAAACAAAAAAAAGATAACAAATTAAGATTACTAAGATAACTCAAATTAAGTACTGATTAACATACCTTTTGTTTTGAAAATCCTGAATACTATGTTTCTCATCAGAAACATTTTCAACACTTTCAGGTTCTCCAGAACCTCCGAATTCATTTGTCACTCTAAAATTATAAGCGAACATAATGGATTTAAATATAATTTTCAATGCATAAATTTTAGAAATATAATAAATTTTCTTTATTTTATGTAATTTAAAAGTGCTTAGTTATTTAGAGTTAATTTAAAACGCATTCAGAAATTAAATATAGATTTTTCTTCTGGGAATAATATTTTGGTTTTAATTAATACTAGGAGGCTCCGCCCCTGCTCGCTAACGCTCGCCAACCCCCGAGAATTGCTACGCAATCCTATGTGGTTCACGCCGTGAACCATGGCTCGCTGCGCTCGCTCGCCAATGAACACAATGTTCTAGCACAAAGACATAATATATTATCATCAAAGACATAGTATTGTACTTATGTAGAAGAATTCTATCAATGCTCTTATTGGCTTTTAAAAAAAGTATATTAGCTATTTAGATTGTACATGGTGAAAAAATCAAAACATTAGCTAAATAAGAAACATATTAGCAAAATAAATGATCAAATATTGCTTCACTAATATTCTGCATTTTAAAGCGTGAAAATTCAATGCATAAATAAACGCGAAATATAAAAAAAATTCAATGCATTCAATACAAACACTTAAACGTTTTTTAGACGTTTAGGTAGCTCCCAGTGGAAAAATATCAATTCAACAGCGGCCTTTTAAAGCATTCTCACTTCAGTTAATTAATTAATTCCTAATTGAATTTAAATTAAATATTGTCATGTTTTTAGTGCATGAATCTGAATTGAACAACCTGATAATGCTCACTCTGGTTATTGTTATCTGGTTGCTCACTACGTGCTCTTGCGCGCCGAATCCAATCAATTAAAAATGAAAAGTGTTGCCAGCGCGAGAAAAGAAATATCATCGGTTTTATTGATACATACATACGTACGTATTAGCGTTTTATATAATATAGAAGATACCTGTGGGTAAAGTTTTAACGTGTGTGTGAGTAACTATAGCGCAAGTTTATAAATTTTTTTTTAACAAAACGTGAAAATCGAATCTGTTAAAGTATTTCAGCCTGGCATTCTAAATGAAACTAGTTAATGCTCTAAAAATACACATTATTTTACAATGTTAGTGTTATTTTAAATTCGAGAAAAAATTTTAATAAATTTTTTAACTTTTGTTTTAATGAATTTTACTTTTCTTAGCATTCAGTGTATGAACTTCTAAACCATCATTATCGCAAATAACTGCTTAAGCAAGCAAACAGGCAAGGTCACAAAATATTTTTACTTAAATACTAAAAATATTTAAATTGAAAACAAGTTAGCATACCTAATATTTTCACAACTCTCAAGAGTCAGATTTTGACCAACAAAATCCCCAATACATTCAGATTCTACAAAGAATCCGTAATCATCACATTTCACAATTTGGTCACCACTAAAATTATAAAAGGTCATTTTTGAAGTATTAGCAGGATTTACAATACACGTAGTTAATGATTTATAAAGTAAAAAAATCCCAGTGAAAATGGAATTTTCTTACATAAAATAATATTTATGCAGGACCTTATAAAATTAGAACAATAAAATAATGAAGTTTTATTTAATTACTAACGTAAATTTTTTTAAATCTTTTTTAATTAAAAATAAAGTTAGTGTTAACTTATCATCGTTGAGTATAATCGTTGATATTTTAAGAACTATTTAAGAGTAGAGTTATTTAAAACATTTGAAATTGTATTAATGTTTAAAAACATGTGCTGTTGCGATTATTATGATGTTTTTAAAGAATTCAAACTGCTAAACATTTATTTTGAAAAATAAGTTATTTTTTGAAGACCTTTATGTAATTCTACTACAGACATATATTAGTATGATAAAAATACTAATTAAATTCAATTTAAAAATAAATTTGCGTACCCAATATTTTCATCATTCTCATAAGATGGACTTTTCTCAACTAAACCTTCTTTAACATTAGACTCAACATAAAATCCGTATTCATTTTCTTTCTCAATTAGAACAACACTGAAATTATAATAGGCCATGATTCACTATTTTAGCACGATTTATAATAATCATATGTATTTAGTTTAAATTTTCTTACTTTTCAAAAACAATAATTTGTTTTTTATTTAAAATGTATAGAAGTTAATTAACATTTATTTAAAAATGTATATAAGATTGTTCTATTATGAATATTTCCTCCCTGTGTGCTTAAAATAAAGAGCTATCTTTCAAGAATAAAATCTTGTAGCCTATTAAAAATGAGATATTTTGCCCAGAACAATCTTCATATATTTTAGTTACATTTGCCGAAATCAACTAGTTAAAATAAGAAAGGGAAAACTTGAAAAGATCTTCATGTATTGTGTATGTAACATAATATGTAATGTTACATTGACAAATAATATTCAGAAAAAAATTAATGAAATGCTAATGAAACCAAACTTTAATACAATTAAAGATGCCTTCTATTTTCCTCATTCTCACTCGTTTGAGCCTGAGTAATAAAACCATCCTTACAATCGGCCTCAAAATAATATCCATATTCATCACATTTCACATCAAGTTCAACACTAAAATAATATGTCATTGTTTACTATTTCGGCAAGACTTACTATATTACATAGATGTATACATTTTGATGTATAATACTTATAAGAAGTGGTGAATTTATTTCTTGCAAAATATTTAAGTGCAAATAATAAAAAAAACTAACTAAACTAATAAAAAACTAAAATATTACTTAAGGTGTAATATTTTGCATGCAATGCTTTAAATTTGAGTCAAATAACCGAAATAAAATTCACTAACATTCCCAGAATTCTGCTTAATATTAAATAAATTAAAACTTTATCGGTAAATTAAAACTTTATCATGTTATTTTTTAAAAAAAAGTTAATTTTTTGCTATTTAAAAATTTTTTAATTTTATCTGTTTATTTCTTTTTTTATATTTTATCCTGTTTAACGTTATAATGTTAAAATGAGAATAAATTAATTTATCGGATGAATTTTATATTTACATCGTAACTGAATACACTTAAGATAAAATATTTATTACTGTTGGATTTATTACTAGTATTTAGTTGCTCACATAGAGGTCTTGAAGTTCGTTCAAGGATTTAATTAGTTTTTTTTTAATAAATGTATAAACAGTTAATAATTTACATGGGCCAATCTCCCGCAATACTGTATTTCCTGTGGTAGAGCCTCTTCTATATCTTTAGTTATCAAAAATATGTAGCATAAGTGAAATTTTTAGTGCTGTATATTTGTGAAATCGCAACCTGCATACTTAAAAAATATCTTAAAATAAGAAGAAAATTAAAAGTTTCATCATAAAAGTTTAAATTTCGTTGATGAATATTTATAAAATCATAATTTGGATGTAATCTTTATAATCATTAACATTTTAATTTTAAAGACTGAGATTTTGTATAATTGCAACTATGAGTTTCAGTAGTTTTCTATGTAATTGTAAGCATTTGGAATAGCAGAAAGCAAACAATATACCAAAAATACTAACTAAAATTTGAAGAAAATTCAATTTGAAGAAAAATTAGCGTACCTGATGTTTTCAAGAACCTCATCACCTAAAGTTTGGGCCGATATGTTTTCAACAATTCTTGGTTCCTCAGAACCTTCACAATCAATCGCCACAATTCTAAAAAACAGCATAAAATGAACCTCGATAAATTTCAGTGTTTGTATATTTTTACATAAATTAAACTATGCTTGTTTTTTTACTTTAAGAAAAAAATGGATTATCAATTTTAAAAAATCATCATTTTACAAAATATATATATCAATATTTTTCTCAGGGAATAGCATTTTAGTTAAAATACGCATTTTATTCCTAAATGCAAGTTTAGAACATCTTAAAATTCTTTGAACTTCATCACTATTCAACTTCTTTCTGAATTTTCCTGCAATCAAGCAGGTTTTACAATTTTTTTGATCGGCTTTTCTCAACAGTGATTCAATTGATGTAAGTAATGTTTTGTTTTGTTCTAATTTAAAAATTTATTTTAAACCCTCAATGTTATTCATATTATTATACATTTTTGTTTAGGGTTGTGAAAATATAAATTGTGTTACAATGACCCCGCTGATCATTACAACACAAAATGAGCATGAATAGAAATATATGTTCAACCCATAAGTTTGCTAAAACACCGAGAAAAATATTCTTGTTAAGTTACCGTTCTGTGCGGTATTGACATTTCTGGTAAAAAAAAAAAAAGAACAGCACAATTCTGATAACAAAAATCAAAATATACGATATTGAAACCATTCGTTTGGTACATTTTCTGTTCATATGGTAATGTGTTAAAGGAATTTGTAGTTTATAAAAAAAATTGTTCTTATATAATCACATTTAGTAAAAACAAAAGAAAATGCGAAGTTAATTTAACCGGATAAATGATTTTTCAATCATGGTGTCATGATAAAATTACTGAATGTTATCTCATCTGTCAAATTTAATCACATATTGTTAATTTTACCAAAATCTTTAACAAAGAGTGTGTTTCATTTAAACTACCAAGATTTTTTGCGTCCCCATAGGGTCAGAAATACGGTAAATTTCTCCATATTCTGGTAGATTTGACAATAATTTTTTTCTCTCTGCCAGTTTATTTTCTTCTTTTTTCTTTTCGTGTCTATGTTTTTATACTCTTAGCTTGTGTTCATTCCTAGGCAATTCAGAGTATTTATGATTATTTCCTGTTTAGCGACTCAAAATTATTTACTTACTCATTGATTGTTTCATCTTCACTTTCGAAATCATCGTAATCATCCTCATCAGCTACATAAAATTTCACAGTTAGTAAAAATCAAGTTTTCAAATTTTAAAAAATTATAATATAATCTACAGTTATAGATTTTGTATTATTTTAACTTTATAGCACTTTAAAAATTGCAACTGTTACTTATTACAAATATGAAAATTATAAAAATGTCTTCAACATGCATGTTTGTCATAATTTTATTTCAAATTTGATGATTATTTACTTATAGTTATAGGTTTTACTATGGAGGCAAGTTTCAATGAAACAAATATTTTTTATTACCTATTGTATATTTTTATACAACAAAGATGAGATTTTTTTATTGTTTAACTGTGTAAATTTTTTTTTAAATTTTTTAAAAAATCTGTAGAATCCTTTATAATATATAAGTCTTATTTTATATGTCAATAACATATAAAATAAAGCTCTATAAATAAAATAAAATGAAATAAGTTGCCTGAAATTTCAAGAAAGAATTAATCAAAAAGATTTAAAAGAATAAATTATAGTGTTTTTCCCAAAATTTTGATTTTGGAACTTTGTATGTATCTGAAGGATTTATTTTCTCCATAATATTGACTTACAGCTCAAACATTTTTATGTGGCTTATTCACAAAATTAAAATGAAGAAGTAATAATTAAATACTGTCTTAAACAGTTTTATTTATCTTAGAAATATTTTTTTTGTATAATTACTGTCACATTTTTGGATCGTCTCCTAACTTGTTATCGGGACCATGGACTTTAACAACCTGATATCTAAGATTAAAATTCTAAATCCGTATAACATGTAAGTTTATTTAAAATACTAGTGCTCTTGCTCGATAAAGCTTATTAAGTTATCATCTACATACATAAAATTATAATTTTTACCACATAAGTGTACCTATGATTTCTCAAAATAAAATTAATTTGTTGCAATTTTCAGTTTAAAAACCTTGTTCTGTGTTCATTTTTAAAAATTCATGAGTGAGTCTAAACTTTTGACCGGTATTGAATACATATATATATATATNTATATATATACTGACGAAGTTAGGTACGTTGGAGTTGTATGGCATAATTGACTGATTGAAGACTGTGATGAAGATAAGATAATGAAAATGACGATTGAAAACGAAAACTGAAACATAATTATAATAAAGCTTTTATTTAGTATTTTTAGAGCTCGGAGCTACAAAATTATATTTTATCCATAATTAGACTTTCTAAGTTCAGTAAATTTTGCATAATAATATTAATAAGGACAGACCTTGGGAGATAAATACTCTATGACCAGCCTAAACAAAAGCAAAATTGAAAAGTGAGTGAATTGTTCCCGACAGAGAGATAGGAGCATGGGAAGAGATCCAAGGTTGGTGATTAATCGAAAAATAACATAGCCAAAAATAAAGCCATACCCCATAATCAATATAAATTTGAAAATAATTTGGCGAAAGCGAATTGCCAAAAAGACTGTGAGAATCTGTACTACCATGTAACTGAAAAACATATTTGTGGTGAGAAATAAAGAATTATAAATAGATTTTTATTTTTGGTTTAGTGAATTAATGCGTCCTACATAAGTGTTAAATAAAAAGTTAGCCATTAGATTGATAGTTATGAAAAGAATAAAATATTTCTTTATATTCTCTCTTTATAAATTTTAATAATAATTGAATGAATGATTTTATTTCATTAAAATTCGGCCAAGAAAGAATAAAAATAATAAGTTTAAGATATTAATGAAATACTAACAGCAAGGAAATATGCAATGCATATTGTGGCACCACAATACACATTTAGTGCCAGTAACATTAGTTGCAAATTTTTATTGTCATGCTACAAACGTTTGAAATTTCTTTTCTTTGAAAGAGTGTAATTCTCTTCTTCTAGTATTATCAACAAAACATTCCATGAATTGCATGACTGCTAATATTCGAATAAAATAAAAAGTATGGTCTTACGCAAAGGCCGAGGATACTTCATCATCTGGTCTAACCAGTGATTAATTATCGCCTGTTTATACAAAGGAAATTTCTTCCTATGCATTCGCCAGAAATGCGTAAAAGTTGGTGATACGAATCACTCATAATCGCACTTTTTTAAAGCTTCTCAAAATCGCCGTCAAATTTGAGAACATACACTGAGTATAGCTCAAAAAAGAATGACAAACAAATTGTTTTTAATTGTTCCTGTTCTCAACAATTAAATTTTTTCGAAACAATGTTTAAACAATAAAAGTTTATATACATTTCTCAGCTATTTCAATCTAAGTATTGTTATAAATATACTTCAGTAATACTATTTTTGTATTTGATTATTTAAATGAAATGTGAAAAAATTACATTGTTAAAAAAAAGAAACTAAACTATTACATTAATCTTTCCAATATTGGTTTCTCAGTGAACTGAAATTTATTTAAAAAAATAATTACAAACTTTGAAAGATCGCATAGATGAATTTATAACATAAAAAATAGGTAAAATATTCAGAAGCTAGACACGCACCTTTTTTCTAAAATAATTTTTTATAATTTACTCTTGAGCAAAAGATACAAATATCTGGAAGGAATAAGACTACTGGCGCTAATTCTGTACACCATACATTTTTATCGATAGCTTAATTTTCTTTTGCATTGAAAGTACATTTCGTACCACGAAATTCAATTTTTTTAAAAACACATTCAAAAAATGGTTATATTTAATTTAGTTACCTAANCATAAATTGCATAATTGCTAATATTTGAATAAAATAAAAAGTATGATCTTACGCAAAGGCCGAGGATACTTCATCATCTGGTCTAACCAGTGATTAATAATCGCTTGTTTATACAAAGGAAATTTCTTCCTGTGCATTCGCCAGAAAGGCGTAAAAGTTTGGTGATACGAATCACTCATAATCGCACTTTTTTAAAGCTTTTCAAAATCGCCGTCAAATTTGACAACATACACTGAGTATAGCTCAAAAAAGAATGACCAACAAATTGTTTTTAATAGAATTTGTTCCAGTTTTCAACAGTTAAATTTTTTCGAAACAATGTTTAAACAATAAAAGTTTGTATACATTTCTCAGCTATTTCAATCTAGGTATTGTTATAAATATACTGCAATAATACTATTTTTGTATTTGATTATTTAAATGAAATGTGAAGAAATTACATTGTTAAAGAAAGAAACTAAACTATTACATTGATCTTTCCAATATTGGTTTCTCAGTGAACTGAAATTTATTTATAAAAATAATTACAAACTTTGAAAGATCGCATAGATGAATTTATAACATAAAAAATAGGTAAAATATTCAGAAGCTAGACACGCACCTTTTTTTTAAAATAATTTTTAATAATTTACTCTTGAGCAAAAGATACAAATATCTGGAAAGAATAAGACTGCTGGCACTAATTCTGTACACCATACATTTTTATCTATAGCTTAATTTTCTTTTGCATTGAAAGTACATTTCGTACCACGAAATTCAATTTTTTTAAAAACACATTCAAAAAATGGTTATATTTAATTTAGTTACCTAAGTAATTATAGAAAATACAGAACTTTATTTCCAATCCAATCAAAACTAGTTTACTCGGCAGGGTAGAGAACAAAATTTTTTTGGCTATTTAAATGATATGGTTTACTAATACATCCGAATACCAAACGTTTTTTGAGATTAAAAAGCGAAGTCTATCAGCATAAGTTTGATGAGTTTCCGTCCATTATATTGCAGAAAAAATGTCTACGCTTTAAATGTACTATGTATTTTTTTTACATTGCATTATTAGTTAGCACAAATGCAAAAATGGATTTTTTTTGACAGCAAAATCTAACTTTTTGATGAAAATATTAAAATTTTAAACTTTATAAATGTAAGCAGATGTTAGAAATTTTCCTTTTGTGAAAAATATTTTTACAATTTGAAATTAAGGTTAAATTTTTCTCGTTTTTGAAAATTTGCCTCATTAAGACTCTTTAAATTTTACGTAACTACATCTAGATTTATGGATCATAGTTTCAAAGGTCATTTCGTGAAAATGACACATGCTTTGTGGTAGTGTTACTTTAAATTAATTTAACTGCTCTTGATTGCCAAAAAATATTTTAAATTTAAGCTAAATTTAATACACAGGAATGTTCGAAATTCATATTTTCAAAATATGTGACAGAAAAGATTTCGCTAATATGAAACGGTGCAGGAAATAACTTAATACAAAATGTGGCTGCATAAAAATAATTTAATTCAGTTTCATAAAAGAGTGCAAAATTATAATTCTTATTTAATTTCATGAAAAATCTCCGAGCAACAGTTTTTCAAGTATTTAAGTGGAAAGTGTTTCCGATGCAAGTTTTTTAAAATGATTTATTTTTAACACGAGACAGAAAACAGGAATCACTTCTTAAAAATTTCGAAATTTTAACATAACATGGAAATACTATTTATAAATACAGTTCCTTCATGTTCACGCTAAACTCTAAAGCAAGAGCAAACGTACAAGTTAAACTCTTTGAATTTAAGAAGAAAAAAAAAAGGATAGGAACGAGAAATTGTATTGTTAAATCTATCTCAGAGAAACAGATTTTTAGTATTTTTCCTAATTGCTTCCTAGTAAACACATCCGGGCATAAACTCGCTGGGCTCTAAAGCTTTTCAGTGGATGCATAATCAAATGAATCACTATTTGTTATATTCTAATAAAAAATTAAATAATGATAATGAATAAGAAAGATATAAAAAAATGTAGATTAGTGGAATCAGCTTTATTATTAAGATTATATAAACACCGAAGAGCCATTACATTATGACCACCCTGCTAATAACATGTAGGACCACCTTTAGCCCTCAAAACTGCTAGCACCCGCCGTGGCATTGATTCCACAAGGTACTGATAGGTAGTCTGAGGTATCTGGTACCAAGCGCTCAACAACTGGTCATGCAATTCCCTCACATAGCGAGTAGGTAGTGTGGCAGCACGAATTTGGTTTTTCAAGTAGGACCACAAAAGCTCTATTGGATTAAGGTCAGGTGAATTTGGGGGCCAAGACATGACTTAAAAGTCACTGGAATGATCCTCGAACCAATCCATGACGATACGACCCTTATGACATGGTGCATTATCCTGTTGGTAAACACCATCCTCCGCAGGAAAAACTGTTGCCATGAATGGGTGAACCTGGTCGGAAACTATGTTCAAGTAGCTTACAGACGTCAGGGATTGTTCTATGAGGATTTATAGGGTTCTAATGTGCCCCATGAAAACATTGTTCCTGGGCCGAACCATGAAAACCTGGAAGAGCCCATTGTTATAGATGGAGGGTATATATATATATATAANGAGAGAGAGAGAGAGAGAGAGAGAGAGAGAGAGAGAGATACGAGGGCCGTTCGAAAATTAAAACCAAATGAAAGAAAATTTTTATGAAGAAAATTTATTCTTTGATTCTACATACGTTTCTATTCTTTTCAAAATCGTTGTCAAATTTGCTTAAGCACTTATCATACCTTACAAATAGATTTGAAATAACCTTTTCATAGTAACTTGCCGCCTGCTCCAATATCCAAGAGGTTACGGCTATTTTCACGTCTTCGTAATCGTTGCACTGGTTGCCGGCAAAACGATGTTTAGAACATCAGAAAAAATTAAAATCACTTAGCGCAAGATCTGGGCTGATGAGGGGTGATCCAAAATTTCCCCGTTGAAAGAGCCAATAAAGCTCGGAACTGAGCTATGGAGAGAGTCATTGTCATGGAGTAGAGAAATTTCATATAATTATAATATAATATTATATTATAATTATATGAAATTAATAATATAATTTTAATAATATATAAGTGCACAAATATTTAGCGAATAATTGCAATCTTAAAAGGGGCTGTGTCCCTTCATTTTTAAAATGTGAGGTTCCGCGGTCCTTACAATAAGTCAGGTTTTCTTAGGGGGGGGGGTGTCTATGTAAAATGTGTAGGTTTCATGGGTGAAGTAATCATGAGTACGAGAGTCTTTATCAGTTCGTGCAATTCTTTTCAGTTTTGAGGCATACTTTAAATCATCAAATAATGTTTTTGCATTGAAATCTCCACCGGTGAAGGTTTAAATATTTTTTATCAGTAGTATTTTTAGAAGGCCCGTTGTAATAATATGTTTTGGTTTCTTTATATAGAACAGACAGTACGAAAAAGTCCTAATCATTCTTGTGAACAGTAATCGAGGTCTCCTCGAAATCTTTGCTGTATAGAATGATACAGAGATTTTTTTTTTGACGAAGATCACTGTGCAGCCAGAACTGTTTTCTAAGTTTTTTTTAAAATTTCTTATCTCATTTATTTATGTTATTGTTCGCAAGATTAATCTTGTTCGGTCGGAGATGTATAAGTTTTCGTGAAGAATGCCACATCTATGTCATGTTCAAATATGAATCTTCACTGCACAATTTAGAGGGGATGCCTTCCCAAACAAATCGGGGTTTGTTTACACATTGATGCTCTGGAGAATTATCCCCGATAAGCACAGGATCTTTCACGTACACTAGTTAGGGAACAGCAACCACACGTTCCTCTTCTTCAAAGCATAATGATGATCCAAACGTATGATCTTGTGGCTACCAATGAGCTGTTGACTCAATGACCATGAGAATATCCTGGGTCGAAAATGAACACTGATATCACATAAGCCCCGTGATTCAAATTGACGGTCCTGACTAACTAACTAATACAGTTGCATCGGAGTACCTATCCGAGGGGAATATCTACTCCGTCATCGAAAATAAAATTTAGATGGAGGATGGTAGTTTAACGAAAGTTAAATCTCAAATTGAAGCACATAATTAAAAAATTTAAAGTTTGTGTTATGTATGTATAAACATGTTAAATCGCAAATTGATACATAAAATTAATACGAATTCAAAATAAGAGATAAAACGATGAAAAAGAAAAATATTTACAAATATATACAAGAGGGGAAGACTCCCTATACACTCCTTCGCCTCCCCCCGGTGCAGAGTGCATAGTTCGTCTAAGGTGTTGGCGATAATATTAAATTATCGGTAATGTTTTGATAGCACGCAATCGCTAAGAAAGAAAGCGGTTATCGGGCTAAATTCAACATTTATTAATAATATCTAAGTCCAGTAATTTATTAAAATCACAAGTATAACTCCTCCAAATTTAGCTTCTTTAAAAAAAGGAAGCATTTAGTTTAAAAAGATATTCCTCGATTTTTCTATTTTTAAATCGTTATAAAGGGTGTTATTATGAACAAACCAGGGTGCCCCGGTGATTCTCCTGAGAACTTTATGCTCAAAGACCCTTAGTCTTTTCCTTTGAATGTTTGTTAGAGTCCCCCAGGCCGGCGATGCATAGCATAGAGTATACACATTAAATATATGTCTTTTTCTATGTAAAGCCATTTTGCTCTCACTTTTTAGCAGTGGTTTTAAAGCTTGGAAAGCAGCTTCAGCTTTTTTAAGAATATCAGATCTATGTAATTTTCTGTTAAGGAAACAACTAATGGTGATTCCTAAGTATTTGGCTTTTAATTTAAGAACTAATATATTTCTACACTAGCCATCTTAAACCATGATGACTTGGCGAGATGAAACTCCTCTTGAAGAAAAAGAGACAACAGAAGAAGTAAGTTGAAATGTTCTAAAGAATTTCATTGTTATTTTTATTTTATTCATAAAAAACTAGATATTTATAACCCGAGATCAATTTGTGAAAATAAATTATATATATACTAGCTGAATGCCCGTTCTTAGCACGGGGTGACAGAATTAAAGAACTAAGTGGAAGAACCGGGTTAGTAACACTTTTAGGAAAATTAATGAATTAAAGAAAATAAGATAAAAAGGTTACATCAATATGGAATGCAACAGAACTGTTTTTGCCTTCACTTTAATCGAAACATAACTAATACGCATTACGTTTTAGTATGATTTTTATTTCAAATTATGCAGTCGTAAATAGAATAAGGCAAAGAATTATAAACTCTTATAAAATGGTTATATAATAGTTTGTAATACAAGTTTTTTTCGTTCTGAAAATGTCACTTACCCTTGTTTTTTTCCACTAAGTTCAACGAAGGTTAATAAAATATGAACTCAGATAATGCAACATTAGAGTAAGTTTTTAAATATTAAAAAAATTGGATCATAAACACCTTTCATTCTCTAAAAACTGTCGACATTTTGCGCCATTTTGTAATGAAATAGAGTAAACTGGCTAAAGCTAGACTAAACTTGACTTATTAGTCATGAACAGCTGTTGATAGCATTAATGGTCATGAGCCATCATGTTACAACCCTCAGCAGTTATGAAAATAGAATATTATTCGTATTTCATGCGACATCAGTGTCTTTTGAAAAACAGATTTTTAACACTTTGGATTTCCATGTTCTCATTATCTGCTTTTTTCTGACCTTTTATAGATCAGGAACATCAGGATTTTTCTCCTAGTATTATAGACTGTATTGTCACAGTGTCTAAGCATGCCTTTAACTCAAAACACATTTGAGTAAAATTTGAATAATTCAACAGTTTTCTTTATTGTTCGAACTTAAAACAACCCATTTATAATGAAGCAGAGAAGCTAAAACGTTAAAATTCAAAAATTAAATGTATTACGATAGTTTTAAACTGGATTTAGAACTGGATTTATAAATTAAATTCAGCACCACTTATTTAATGTTTTTTAATGAACCTACTTAAACGCATGCAAGAATATTTCAAATATTTCATAGATTTTTTTAAAAATAATTAACGTTAAAAAGTTTCTAAAAACTCAACTCCATATTTAATTTTGTCTATAAATTCTTCCGTTTCTAATACTGTTGAATTTTTATTTCCCAAGACTGTCTTTAACTTCTTAACATTTTCTTTTAAAATTTTAACACTTGCCATGAATTTGCCTCTCTTCATTAAAAACTTTCCTAAATTATTCTCCGTCCTTAAAGTACCTACATGCATCGGACCTAAGACGTTCTCCTGAATATATAAAATCTTCTGATAATCTTCGATAGTTTTATCAGACAAATCTTGAAGGCATGATACATGTTTGATATTATGAAGCACAGTTACAGTTTTCTTATGATTTACCCCTAATTCTTTAATGAAATAATCATAAGCAGAATTATAAGACGAAAGAGCTTCGTCATATCTGCCCAAGAGAGTAAAAGAGTTTCCCATATTATTCTTAGCTATCACAGTAAGATAATTGTTTGAACCATAGATTTCAAGATGCTTTTCATAAACAGTGTTATTTATATTCAGTGCTTCTTCATGCCAGCCAAGGTCGTCCAGTACGATCGCCAAATCACTGAATGTTTTTAAAGTATCAGAATTACCCAATCCAAAAAGTTTCTTTTGTAATGTGGAAACTTCACGCAAAATCTCTACTGCTTCTAAACTTTTCCCTAATCTGTGCAGAATGGAAGCTATTAATGATTGCGTGATTAGAGTGCGACTGTTTCGTTCTCTAAATATCTCTCTCCATTTTTCGGACAAACTTTGAGCTTTGGAAAGTGCCTCGTTGTATTTCTGTTGCTGGTAAAGTATCGATACAGAATCTAATTCAATATCCAACGTAATGGGATTATCTGAACCAAACATTTGTGATGCTTTTTTCTGAAAATTGTTCAGCATGCTTAGAGCTTCATCAAAATGTCCTGCGGCAGCTAACTGCTTGAACATATGACTGGTGGCTTTATGAGGGTCGAAAAAGAATGACTTCAGGTGTTTGAATTTGGGAAAATTATTGAGAATGGCGCAAACCATTAGAGTTTTCCCTTCTTTATTTTTTGAACACGCTAAAGATTTTAAAAATTCAGAATATTCACATTTTTCTAGAATGCTCAAAATCTGAATATTTGAATTCTGCACACTCTTGAAAGAATTATCTATTAAGTTTAATAAGTCAACAACTCGTTTATCTGAAGCTAGATCAAGAGGAGTTTTCCAACCGTCTGTCATTACGTTATACATTGCACCATTTTCTAGCAGAATTTTTACTACTTCCACTTTGCTATATGTAGAAGCATAATGTAGTGGTGTAGCGTTATTTTTGCCAAATACGTTAGGATTTGCATTGTTTTCCAACAGAATTTGAACAATTTCACTGTAACCTTTCCAAGCAGCATAATGCAGAAGTGTAGCATTTTTCGATTCCTTTGCATGGATGCATGCTCCTTTATCAACAAGAGATTTTACGTTTAAAATGTTGTTATTTTTAACAAAGCTAAAAAGTTTTTCAATCATCAGTAATGTTTTTTTAACAGTTATCTTGTCAGTAAGAAGCAATGGGGTTTTGTGAGAGGTACCATCAACGCAGTCATAAAAAGCACCATTGTTCAGCAGTACTTTGAGCACTTCTTCATGACCTAATATTGAAGCTAAATGAATTGGCCTCACTCCCTCATCGCCAGGTTCATTGACATCCATTCCTTTTTCAATTAAATATTTAACAATGTCTGTCTGGCCTGCTTCAACTGCATGGTGCAGAAGAGTCTCATTTGCACATCCACGTTCTGTTAATAGTTTAACGTCGCATTGAATAAAGTATTTTACAATCTGTAAATGTCCTTCTCGAACTGCTATGTGTATTGCTTTATAACCGAGATCGTCAACCATATTAATTGCAGCACCTTCATTTATAATGAATTTTACCATGTCTAGATGACCACATTGTGCAGCGATATGTAAAAAAGCAAAACCATTTTTTCCTTTGGAATTTACATCTGTGGTTTTATTCTGGAAAAATGTTTTTATTGAATCCACATGACCATGCAGTATTGCCAGTTCAATGGGTCTTAGACCTCTTGAATTTAGTTTAGTAAAATCGGCTCCTTTATCTAACAGTTCTTTTATGATTTTCGAATGGCCTAAAGAAGATGCTAGATGTAAAGGGGTTTCATTATTTTCATTAATCTTATTCACATCAGCTCCACGATTTAACAAGATAGTTGCTATGTCTTCAAAATCACTCTGAATGGCCAAAAAGAAAGAATGATTTATGTCAACTGACCCTGAAAATTTCCTTTTACCTAAAAAATAAGAAACTACTCGCTTCAAACCTTTGAGTATTGCAATATTTAGAAAAGTTTCACCTTTATCATTAAATTGTTTCTCGATATCTATTGATTTATTTTGGAGAAGAATAATGCATACGTCCTGATGTCCCCGCGAGAGAGCTTTATAGAGAGGATCTCCGTCATTTACATCAGCTCCACTTACGATCAACGCCTGAATTATTTCTGTATGATCTTCTTTTGAGGCCAAACACAATGGAGTATCACCTCCAAGTGTCATAGAGTTTAAAGAACCCTTTCCACTCAATAACAGCACATTAACAATCTCAAGATGATTGCACTCAACGGCGTGATGTAAGGGCGTGTATCCTTGTTTGTCATAGACGTTAATGTCAGTTAATTTTGTGATGAAATATTGTACGATTTCAGTATTACCTGAGATGCAAGCTACGTGCAAAGGCGTCTGGCCATCATCACTTTTTATTTTAAAATCAAGCCCTTCTTTAACAAGTGTTTTAAATATGTTAAGTACTTTCGTGTTAGACATGACTTCATCATAATTTTCATTCGCCATAGTCACTGCTCGATTTCCTTCCCAATGTATCAGATTTTTCGAAACTGAGGAACAGATATGCAATAAAGTTTGCCCTCTTTCATTAACTGAATAAATATCAACCTTCTTCTCCAATAAAATCTTTTCAGCTATATCATAGTAACCTAGCACGATGGAAAGGCACAAAGGTGTCAAACCTTTTTTATCTTTAGCATTAATGTCGGCTCCGCATTCAATTAATCGCAGCGCAATATCTATTGAACCCCTTTGTATGCATAGATTAAGAGGAGTGTTGCCATTAACGTTTCTATAGTTAATAGATATTTTATTATCAATTAAGCAATTAATGAGGTCCAAATTTTTATGAGAAATTGCATACTCGAGTATGGATTTACCCTTCAGTGTAACATCTTTAATACTTTCTCCTGGTTTCATGAGAGTTTTTATTAAGCTAATACTTCCATGCATAATAGCGTAATGCAAAGGTAAATATCCTACGCTATTCGAAGCCATTAAATTCGCCCCATGTTTTAACAAAACCTCAGCAGTCGATGCGTGTCCATTCACTGCAGCGTAATGAAGGGGAGTGTCTTTATCTGAATTTATCGCATTAACGTTTGCTCCTTTTGAAATCAACAATGCGACAATCTCTGTATGACCAGCGTAAGCAGATTGGTGCAATGCTGTGACCATTGTATTGGAAACACAATTAATTTCAGCTCCTTTAAGCAGTAAGCAATTGACCATTTCCAAGAGACCCCGCTCAGCTGCAAAATGTAATAAAGTAAACTCATCTAAAAGTGTCCGAGATCGAGTACCACAACTTGTTGTAAGGATCGAGTTAATATTTACAACATTTTGAAGGAATAAGTTAACGATTTCAACTTTATTGTCCTTTACAGCAATATGTATAGGCGTCCAATCGTAGCTGTTTTTAATATATATTGAAGCTTTATGATTAAGTAAAATCACTACGATGTCTACATGACCATTTTCTGCCGCAATGTGCAGTGCTGTCTGCCTTCTTTCACACTCTTCATCCACAGCTATTTTTAGATCTTCTATAATATAACAAACTATATCCTTACAGCCTGACGCAGCTGCTATATGGAGGAGATTTCGATTATAAATATCCTTGACTTTGGGGTTCAAGCCACGTTTAATTAAGAGCTTCATAATGTTAATGTTAGAAGATTTTGCAGCAAAATGCAAAGCTGTCAGCAAATTACTGTCTCTTCCATAGACATCAGCCCCTTCTTTTATCCAGTGTATCACCTTATCTAAGGAATTACTAGACAGAGCGTAGAACAGTCTTTCTTGGTTTTCAACTTTATATTCAGTATTAGACCTATTGTTTATGCGACTGATCGTGAAATATCCTTTTCGATTAATATCGTGTCTGATAATCTTCAGGGCAAATAGAAATATTGACAGACGGGAATCCATTACAATGTCCACTAGAGGATTTCCATGAGCTAGATAATTTCTAAGACTTCTGCCAAACAATAAAAAATTATCCTCCTCCATAAATTGCAGCCTCGTTATCAAATAAAGATCAGAATGCTCTAAGCTGGCTAAAATGGACAGGATGAGCATTTCAATTTCAATTTGCATTTCCAAATTATTCTTAAACGTAAGAAATGATTTAATGTCATTTTCAGATAAATTATGTTCACATATAATTTTCCTTAAAGATGTAATGTCTTCCGATATGATATCTTGATAACACCCAGATGGTGACATTTTAATGATGTCAACTTTCTTTTTAGTTACTTTGGCAGCTTTTTCGTAAGTTTTCCTGAGTTTCTGAAGGTATTTAACTTCGTGTTCTTGGCATTCAGTTATGTAAAAAATCTTGAAAAGTACCGTAAAAAATTTCGAATAATCCTGCCCATCTACTTTAGAAATAACTTTCTTGTAAATTGCTTGTATTGATGAGCCGATATTCGCTACGCCTCGAGATTTCAGTTGAGAATTTATGCATTTCAGTCCGTCACCGATACATTTTTTTCTCTCAGCAAAATATGAACTATCCATTTTGCACCCAGGACCGCGTGCTGCAGATAAAAATACGGCCAGGCCTATTTCAAATTTGTCTTTGGAAATTTTTAAAAAAGTCTTTTCAAAATTAATAATATCTGCTATTTTTGAAAAAGTATCCTCGACAAAATTCGTTTTTACTTTTATTATATCCCTTAAGTCAGATATGAGTTTGTCTAATTCAATTATATCAGTGTTTACTGGCAAAAGCTTAACACCATCATTTAACTTTAGCATTGGAAACATACGAAACATGTCTTTGAATGCATCATCGTCATCACACTTATAACATTTTTCCATCAAAATCGCCAGAGTTTTAGATTTTATTTTCTGAAGAACTGAAGTGATTCCGTGATTTAAACTTTTGATGTCTTTCTGAACAAGTGTGTAAAAATCATAGCCAAAGATTTTTTCTATTTCTTGACACACTGATAAAGGAAAACCATGCGAAAAGGAATTTCGCAAAGTTTTTAAAATGCTGTTTGTTTGAGGAGGTAAAGCCGACATCAAATAATCGTTCGTTGCGGTAGAAAGTTTAGGCGATTCTAATGTATTTTTTATGTTCTCGCCTATCACTTGTAATGCCCTGACGATGATAGTTTTTCCACTTTTTTCAAGCGGGTTTACTCTAGTCGCTATGTCAACGTATTTTTTTATAATAATAAGAGACTCATAGTCTCGAATAAATTCATAATTTCGATAAAATTCTTTAAAAATTGGATATTTATCAATTATGCACTTTACCATATCGTCACGATTGATATCAGGAAATGTACCTAATTGATCCAAGTCCGTATTTTTGATATCGCATAATTCCGCCACTAAATGAGAGAAGTTACACAGATATTTCACAAAATCAGTCTCTGTTACAAAGCAGTTGATGTAGCTCCCTTGGTTATTCAGATGCCGGATAAAAGAGATTAAGTGAAATTCCATTTCTTCCCAAGGGATTCTGTCATACGTTGATTTCAGCCATTTTTTCAGAGTGAAAATATTTTGAGCGATTTGTTTCGCTAAGAAAATAATGAGGTCGTTAGATTCCCTGTTTCTGTATTTTGTTTTAATTGAATCACTGTAGTCCAATAGAAGCGATATTCTCTCTTGGATATCATCTTGTGTATAATCATCTGCATCAGACGGAGGATTTTCTTCGAAACAGTAGTCAAATAGAAAACTTTGTACAAATATCTTCATTTCGACTGATACATCTACATTTTTCAACGATAGCTCATCCAAGCTCTTTGATAGGAGAGAACACAATTCTTCAGTGTGTGCAGAAAAATAATCCAATGGCCACTTCTTCATTAAAACTTCAAGAAGCTGCGTATTCCCTGAGCGCACAGCGTAATAAAAAGCATTGTGGGCTTCGTCGTCCTCATCGGTGGGCAAAGGAAATGTCCTGCCAACTTTAATGGAAAGATCACTAATAATCGATGACGTATCACTAAATGCATGGTTCAAGATTTCTAATCGATTGTGTTCGCAAGCCAGTATAACCACATTAGACATTCTAAAAGGATTCTCATGGCAATTAAAGCAAGAAATTAAGTTCGGAAAAATGTCCACGTCACTCACTATCGCCAAGGCACACGATAATTCTTTAAATTTCTGCGCATCGTCGGTTTTTATTGCATTTTTTATTGCTACTAATGCATTTATGTAAATGTGGCTTTGGTATATGTCATCGTACTGCAGAAATTGGGCGATTGCTGCACACTGAGATTTCGCTAACAACAATTTCAGTAAACTTTTCCCTTCAGCATCAACCGTCACGTTCATTTTATCCATCATAAATATCCACACTGTCAAAAAGAAAGAAAAAAATCATTTTAAGATTGTTGTAAAGCTCACAAATTTAAATTTAAACTGAGAATGGGTTTAGAAAATAAAAGTAGTGGTTGACGTTTTTAATGAAGCAATTTAATAATTGCTTTTATCGAAAATTTACTATAGCAGTTGGAATATAAGCCAGATTTTAGTACCAGTAGAATATAAACCAGAAGAAGAATATAACCAGTAGAAGAATCATGCCTATGATTATATTTCAGTTTGAACTCCCCCCTCCCACCAAAAAAAAAAAAAAACAATGCCTGCTTGTTTTTTTTTTGGTACAAATTTAGCACCCATTGATCTGAAGTTTATGTCGTCAACCAGGGTTTCAAATGCAAAACTTTTATTAAATACTGCGTTAAGGATCTTTCAAAAATTTTGCAATTTGATGTTCCAAATAATCATTGTAGAAATCGCCATAGCTGCCAACTCTTCCGGTTTTCCCGGAAGAATTAATTTTCATATTTAAAGTGCTAGCGAAATTCATGTTATTTCACTTAACTTTTTGAATTATAATAATAATTTTAAATCAGTTTGACCACCACTACATATAAATAACTACAACAAATATATAAAAGCATATTTTTCTTTTACTTTAGCGAATTTTAATAATTAAAATATAGATATATTTTTGAGGGAGATAGTTTTTTGGTAATTGTTTAGCTACCACTTGGAAAATCCATTCTTGAAAAGAGTGAATGTTGGCAGGTATAAATCGCTCAGGCAGGGACCTTTACAAGCGATTAAAAATAAAATAAAAAGTGGTGCTTTAAAAAAAAGCAAAAATCTATTAAAAGAGATCAAACCTAGCAACTTTTTCCCGCATATTTCTTTCAACTTACTAATCAAGGTAAACGCAAGGAATTTTCTTGATTTAAATATGAATAATTTGCAATTACATCCTGGTAGTAGTTACGAATAAATAAATAAAAAATTAAGTTTTTACCACTTCTTACATTTTTGCCGTCCGTAGTGTCTCTGCTATAGCTTTCTGTACATAGCCCTGTAGATAGCTTTCATTTTTTCTTTGTTTATAGTCTTCGTTAGTGTTTTTTTACTATTTTTTTCTCGGATTTATCTTTAATGTTTTTATTCCATTGTACCATACATCGATTTATCCATACTGACGCATACTCGCACGATACCTGATGTGTTGTCTTACTGACTTTGGGATTGTGCTAGAGTACTCCCCCCCTCTTTCCTTCTCAATTAATCATCTAATATTGCAATCTTCGTAAATCGTGAAAGTAGAGTAAAAGTAAGCGTTTGAGTCTGAGTTCCATTTCTGACATTGCGTTTGCTGGCAAGGGCACCGGCAGAATAATATGTAAGGGGGTACAACCCTCTAACAAACTACCCCCCCTCCCAATTTTTTTTTGAATATTTTTTATTACATTTTGTTTTGTTATTACATATACTTTCATCTGTTAATTTTTTTCAAGATACATTTCTTCATTGATAACAAGATATTTAAAAAAAAAGTACGAATTTCTTGTACTTGCAAATTTTGCCACGAGAAACTGTATTGATGGCGCTGCCATTGAAACACAAATAACCACAAACAGTAGTTTCGTACACTAACGTGTTTGTGCACGCTTAACTTTGGTAATTATAGTGCTGATGAACTTATACAGTTGTGAGGAGTCAGTTAGCGTTATACACTTTTGTTAAACAAATTAACTATTAGAAACTATAATATTATTAATATTTTATTAAATGAAATTTAAAAATATAGCTTAAATATTGGCCAAGTTTGCGCATGCTCAGTGTGCATAAGAAAAGAATCAAAGATGACTCAGAATTCATTGAAAAAGTTGTAAACAGATTTGAACCGCAAGCAAGACGATTACAATTCTTGTTTGATTAAACAATTTTTTAATTGTTATGTATCAATAATGACTTAATTATATGTTTTTGAATAAAAGTATTTTTAATAAAAAAAATTTATAACAAAATTGTTTTTCTGTATCTCTAATTGTTTAAAAAAAAAAAAAAAAAAAAAAAAAAAAAAAACGGGGGGCTGCAAGTGCATTCTCTTGCACCCCGCTGCCGGCGTCCTTGTTTGCTGGCCTTGGATGTAATCAAGAAAATATATGATCATTAACAGTGGTTATTTTTACCTTTTTATTACAATTTTTAACGATCATTTTACTAATTAGGAAATAGATTGACGTAATGATTTGTCAACAGTGTTTGCAATATAAGAAAATAGGCTTTACTGAATAAATAAAGGTTTTTAATAATTTCTTTTGTTTAGGTTTGTTAAATGTTTCAAAAATTTACTGAAAGATTACAAATAAAAGAATTATAATCCATTAATTAATTGATGAGTAATTCGTTATATATTTTTAACTAGCATTGGTTTTGTTTGTGATGATTCATGAGCAAAAAAGCATTAATTATCAACTACTAACTAATTATCAAATTCTTTTACAAAAAGTACATACAAGTATAAAAGAATTTGATAATTAGTTAGTATACTTTTTTCTGATCACATTACTTTAACGTAAAAGGTGCGTTGTAAAGAAAGATACAGATTCAAAAATTTGATTCCTATCATAAGAGACTGAAAAACAATTTGTTCATAATATTAACAATAAATAAATAAATAAATATTTATAAGCATAAGCAATTTTTCTGTCAAATAAGCTATCACAATAACAATTTATTATAGTAAAATAAACTGAGCAAAAAAAAGTGAAAAAAAAGATTCCTGCAAATAGTTTAGTGTTAATACTCAGCGAATTAAAATATTGTGAGTGAAGGAACATAAAAGTTGACGACAACAAATACTCGTATTCAGCTTATTAAAGTTCAAATAATTTTTAATTAAAATAATGTCAACATTTTTTTCTTACTTTACATAATTTTATCTAGTGTCAAAATCTATCCTTACATTAATAACCGCATCAAATGTAGAAGAAAATCTAAGCTTTAAATGATAAATATTTCAATATCTGATTATAAAAGGGTACAGGTAATAAAATCGCCATATGCATCCTATCTTGCAGGTGATTATAACATCATAATAAACCTTTTAACACTGTCATGTTATGTTTTTTCCTTAGTGCACTTACTTCTCCGATTTGTTTGTAGGTATTTCTTTATTCTATTTATTTACATTTTTGGAAGAGAAGGTCAGAAACATATTAAATAAGTTCTTAATTTATAATTTTAATATATTTTTAATAGAGATATGAAATAAGAGTTTATAAATGGAATTTTTACTAATAGTTATGCATTAGTTTATAAAAAAATAAAATAAAATAAGATAAAATATGTTTGTTTTCGTTAGTTTTTACTTTTTTTTTTTTTTTTTTTTTTTTTTTTTTTTTTTTTTTTTTTTTTTTTTTTTTTTTT